TTTTTTTTTTTTTTTTTTTTTTTTTTTTTTTTTTTTTTTTTTTTTTCCAGTACAGTGCCACATACTGTAGCAGAGACAATCCCCATCTGGAGCCCTCTCTCCACGAGTCTCCTGGAAGGGCACAAAACAAAAGCCCGACACAACAACAACAACAACAACAACAACAACTACCACCAATCCACCAATCCAGCAATCCTCCAAACTCCAGCCTTTCTTCCGGCGGGGAGAAAACCGCGTGAAAAACGCGCTCGCAGCGGCCCTGGCTCCCCGGCCGTCGGGGGCAGCCTGCGCCCGGCCCCGCCGCTGCTCTCGGCCCGTTCCGCGCCCCCGCCACGAGTGCCCGGCCCCGGGACCTGCCGAGAGCCTCGGCCCGGCACGACCGCGGCTGAAACATCGCCGAGCGTCCCGCCGGAGAGACCGAAACAGGCTCCGGTGCGGTTCTGGCCCGCAGCCAGGCTGCTGGGGCGGGGGGAGGAAGGGGGGAGTGGAAGGGGTGAGGGGGGGATTCCTTGTGAGTAATATCTCTGCTTTTATTTTTCATCTTTCTGCCCTCCTGAACCGGCTCGTCACATCCCCTCTGTCGGCTAGAAACGAGCGAAAATTCATCCAAGAAACAGTGATTCTGCCTTAGGGTCTAAAGGGGAGCTTCTCCCCCTTGCCCCCCTTGCATTTGTTTTGGGGGTTTTGTCCCTAACATCGAACTCCTTCTGGAGGGTCAGAGCGGTCCCGCAGCAAAGCGACCGGAGCCGCAGATCGCAGCTCGGGCCGTAGCTCCAGCCGCGGCTGCCGGGGGACCCCAAATCGCGCCCCGAGCGCTGCGGCTCCCACGGCCGGACCCCCGGCACGGGCCGTGAGATCCCGAACGGGGAAAGGATTTTACGGCACTCAGGCCGGGCAGATCCCTCTCCCCGCTGCACCGGTTCGGGTCTGGAGGCCTAAACACCCCTAGAATTTGCCCTTACCGTTGCCCGAGGGTCGGCCCGGCCGGGTGGGTTTTCCAAAGGAGATGCCGGTACTTTCGCTTTCCCAGCTGCCCGTTCCCTGCTCGCCCCTTACCTGAGTTTCCGTGAGGCTGAGGCTGTGTGCCAGCTGTTTTCTCTCTGCTCCTACTACATAATGGTTCTTCTCAAAGGCATGTTCCAGTCTCAGTAATTGGGATGGGGAGAAAGCTGTACGGATCCGTTTGGGTTTCCTGGCCAGTGCATTGTGCAATAGGAAGCTCTCCGGGCTGGTTTCATTCCCTGGGAAACAGGGTAAAACAGATTAGTAAAACACTTTCCCCAGACGCATTCGACAGCACTTTTTAGGGCAATAATTTTTGTCTCCCACCATTATCCTCAGGATAAATCCAACTATAGTTTCTTTTTTTTGTTTTCAGCTCCTTCTTTGTATTGAATTTTCCTTTGATAAATACATGGAGGTGAAGGGTAAATAAGCAGGAGCAGGAGAGGACTGGTATAAATTAAAATGCTAAAACACAACCTGGGGAACACTACAGAAAATAAAGCAGAAGAAAAAAAAACAACTGGCCAGAGCACGGCTGCGGTGTCTGCGTCTACACCTCACGGCTGCCCCCCTGCCCCCCGATCACCGGAGCTTCACGTCTTTCCCTATTTGTTTGTTATTTCCATCTTCCCTTCGTGGCCAGCTGCTCTCGGGGCTGTCTGGCCGAGCCCCTCGAGTCTCCCTGGCCGCCCACCAGGCTCCGGGAGCCTCCCGCCTGCTCCCCTGGCCTGTCTCGGCTTCCCTCGCCCAAAACTTCGGCCGGAGCCTTTCTCCCGCCGCTTCCCTTCGTTCTAGCGGTGTGCTGCCCGCAGCGGGGCTCCCACCGCCTTCCCGGCCCAATGACCCTCCCCGCTGCCTCGGCGGCGCTGGGAACCGGCGTGGAAATGAAGAATCAAACTCCGAGGAGGCCACAGAGCGGCCATCCCATCCCATCCCATCCCATCCCATCCCATCCCATCCCATCCCATCCCATCCCATCCCATCCTATCCTATTCCATCCCATCCCATCCCATCCCATCCTATCCTATCCCATTCCATTCCATTCCATCCCATCCCATCCCATCCCATCCCGTTCCTGCCGGCCTGCACTGGAGCGGGGGCGGGAGCGGGGGATGGTAAATCGGGGTTTTTCGCTGGGCATTTCCCTCCGGGGTGCCCCTGTGCCGCTTCTCCGGGCTGGTCCTTCCAAAGTGGAAGCGGCACCGAGGGGCTCTCTCTGTAAGTGCTTTAAAAATCGTTGGAGGAGGAGGGTGTGTTTGAAATCAGGCTGTGGCTCAACACCAGGACATTTCCGCCTTTCATCTACCCCTCGTTACCAATCGCCTGGTGCCTGCGACAAATAATTTGGTGAGCGAAACCTGTAATTTTATTCTGAAAGGGTAATAATCCATTTTGTGTCTCAGACCGCCTGGCTTCGGAGAGAGTGGCTCCTTTTCCAACCCGGCTGCAGCGGCCCGGCTGTGGAAGGCCGGGGAAAATGTAACATGCAGGTGGTTTGTTTTCGTTCCGAATTAATAAATAAAAATACAAGGGGAAAAAAAAAAAAAAAAAGGCAGATGGATCCCTGCGAGTGGAGGCTGATTTGTTTGTTTGTTTGTTTGCTGGTTTGCCTATAATGAAAGTGGCAGAAGCCGGACCCATTACGGGAGAAATCGGCTCACCCCTCGGAGAAGACGCTGCCGGTTACAAAGGGTTAAGCAAGGGGGATTTTATTGATTGTCCGCCATTGGATTCGGTTATTTCGCTTCAGCTGGTTATTAATCGCTTGGCATTCGGAGCCCCTCGCTGACCGCACGGTCGGGATCGCCCTCCGTGCCCCTTCCCCGGCTGTCCTCCGCAGCCCCATCTCCCCGCGCTGCTCCGGCGCTGGGTTTAATTCCCCACACACACTCCCCTCCTCCTTTCTCTGGGGTTCGCTTCGTTTCTTCCCCTCTAACGAGGGCCGGACTTGGGGCGGCGGCGGGGGCTTCCTGCGGCCCCGCAGCTCGGCGGGCACCGCCGCCTTCCCGGGGGAGCTCAGCCTCACCACCTCTCCTTTCCCCGCTCTGCGCGGCCGCTTCCTTCGGGGGCTCCTCTCTAGCTCTTAACACACCGGAACAAAAAACATCCACCTTTTCCTCTGCTCTTAACGGGGGCAGAAAGCTGACGAGGTCCCAGCCGGCCTTGCCTTCCCGCTTGCCCCCCTCTTCCCGGGAAACCAAAACAAACCGGGAAAAGCAGCAAAACAAAACCAAGCCCAAGCCCCTAGGCTCTGACAGCTCTCCCAAGTTTGGCGGAGGGGGAGACGGGGACAAAAGACCCCGGGCCCGGCCGAGCCGAGCCTTCCGCTCCGGGCAGGGGCCGTCCGCCCACCCGCCGTCCCCCAACATCCGCACGGCGGGGACCGGCCGGGGCCGCCGGAGGATGCAGGGCTGGATCGGAAGGAGAAGAAAAGTTGCACGTACCTTGGAACCTGTGGCCCAGATACCGGTAGCGGTGTATTAGCCACGGGTAGAAGGTGGAGGGGTCCCTTTGCTGCGAGGCGAAGAGCGGGTGCGTGGAGTGCGAAGCAGGCAGCGGGTGGGCGGCCAGGGCGTGAGGAGGGGGCACGGGGTGGACCGGCACGGCCGGGTTCGGCGGGTGGGAGACGGCCTCTGCAAAGACCAAGTCCGGGTTGGAGTAGACCCCCCTGCCAGTGGAGTGGAAGCCGTTGAGAAAAGGGTTCATCGGGCTGGAATTGGCATAGCTGAGCGCCGCCGGCCGGATAGGATCCTCGGAGCGAGACGCGGGCAAGGGGCTGTCTTTGGCCACCAGCGACTCGATGGTGAAACACCGCTTGGGTGTGGGCTGAAACATGCTGCCGCGACGAGAGTCCCCGACCCAATCTCTGCCCGTCTCTCTCTGGTGCGCGGGAGACGATCCGGGGAAGTTTGCAGCAGGGAGTGACTTGAGGAGGGATAGATACACACATAAATAGACAGGGGCTGGAGAAAAAGGAGGCAGCGGCAGCCAGCGGTACCCAAAAGGGAGACACACACACACACACACGCACCACGCACACACTCTCACACCAAAAAAAAAAGTTGCTGGGAGAAGTTTCCCTCCTGCAAGGAAAAGGCGGTCGCGCCCCCCCCTCCCCCCCTAAGTCCAAAGACAATCCATGGATGTGATCGGCCCCTTCACAAGTTGTGCAAACGATTTGTTAGTTCATGAGCCTAATTAGTGCTGGGATCACATAAACAGCTTCCTCTGAAGCCTGGTAAATGGCTTGATGATTGGTCGCTATTACTCGCCTTGAGGTTGAAGGGGGAGACTCTTTAAAGTGCGTCAGAGGGGAGGCGAGCGCCGGGCAGCGCCATCGGGAGGGATGGAGCCGCGGATCGGAGTGCGGCGGGAGCGCGCCCGCCAGCGCGGGGGGAGCGCGCCGCGCCGCCGCCCCCGCTCGGCTCCGCGCCCCTCCGCGCCCCTCCGCAGCCGCGCTGCCCTCCCTCCCCTGCCGCCGCTCGGCGACCAAGGTAGGCGGACGGGGGCCGGGGGGAGGCTCAGCGGGACAGGAGATGGGGGCCCTGCATCTCCTCGGGTGGGGGCAGGGGGGAGTTGGGCTGCTCCGCCGGCGCGACACCCCTGTCCCTGCCACCTCTCGGGTACTCTCAGCCCGGCGAGGTTACCTTGGTCGGCCCCGGGGCGTCAGGGAGAGATGCCCCGCTTGGGAAAGATTTCGTCCCGGTGAGAGAAGGGGTCGTCCTCCTGCTCCGAACTTATTTATTTTCCCTTGGCTCCTCCGCGCTGCCCGCGCCGCGCGGTGCGGAGCACAAAGCGCAGGGCAGCCGCATCGTGCAAAGCTGGGACACGCCGGGCTCCTGCAGACGGGACAGGGGATCAAGTCTCCGGTTCCAGCCTTGTCCGTATTTTCGCGTTTACCTTTGGGTCCGGAGATGATTTTAGGGCTGAGTTCTCCTCCTCCCATTGGCTGGAGCTGCAGAATAATTATGATCACATCCTAATACTCTTGGCTGGTGCTTACTGTTTATTGGTAGTTAAGGATCTATTATCTATTCATCAGCCTCCCATTTTTGCCAATTACATTCTTCTAAAGTGAAGTACCAGCAGGTATTTTGCACATTTACAATTAATGATAAAAAAAATCTGGCGTACTTTAAATCTATTACGCCGCTGTGTAATTTATCTTAAAGATGCAGAATTGCTAATGTAAATTAATGTTTCTGTTGAACCAAGGGATGGGGGGAGTCTTAAAACCAGTCACGCGTTTCTTTCCTTCTCTCCCGGACGTTGTTTTCTATTTTCTTTCCACTTCATACACTAAAAATCCGTTACTTCACTGTATTAAATTATGCTAAAAAACAAATCGCCGTCTAAATGGTTGTTTCCAGTAAAGGGCGAGGTGAATTCTATTCTCCTTCCCCACTCTCTGCTAAAAGCATCTGTTCCCAGCCTGCCGATATTTTTAACACAATACCAAATCGAGGGGATAATATAAGTGACAAAACAGTGTCGGGCACGCAAAGATGCGGCTGTTCTTGCGCCTTTGTTTGAGGCCGTGTTTCCCTTTGTGTACCCCGCGCTGCGCGCACTTTGTGGAGGGAGAAGTTCACTTCTGTAGGAAATGTAAATCTGATCTCCAGGCGTGGGGCGGCTGCACGTATAGACATCCACAGCCACACGTGCGTGCGGGCGCAGAGCAAAGTGAGCTTTTCACGGCAAAACTCGAGTCTTTGGGCAGATTTTGCAGAGAGGTGCCATTCTCCCAGGTCTCACACGTTTGGGGAAACCTTTCCTGCCCGAAGACGCCAGAGCGCAGGACTCCGGCCCCGCTGAGCTGAGAGAGCCGAGCAAGGGAGAGAAGGAATTCCCTTCAGCTCCACTCGTGTCCCTCGTGAATCGCTGGTATCTGAACTTTTAAAGTCCCCTCACCCCTTCTCCGTGCAACTTTTTTTTCCCCTCAAGCGGTGGTCGTTACGCCTCTTCTCGAAAAGATCTGGGGTTATAGACAAGAGCAAGGATGAGAAAGTGCCCTGAATAGGACGGGGGTTTGATGTGCTGATTTCGACTGGGGTCTTGCTTCCAGAGCACTGAAAATGAAGGG